CGGGAACCTCCTCTGACGTATGATGTCCCGAATGTGCGGCTACAAGGCGTCCTCCTCTATTCGATATCGTCGATTTTTTCTCCTCTCTGTCGATCCTCTCACGCATTTCACCGGTTCCGTTCTCATCTCCTCCTTTCCTTTTTTATCTTGGAACTCGTGAGGAAACCGGTAGCCCGAGGTAGTCGTCGGCGGCGATCTTTGAGCGACTTCCGGATCTTTCGAGAAACCTTATTTTTATCTTTACGATTATGCGAAGAAGATTAACGTAGAAATGTGACAAGCCAATCAGTATAAGTTTTATATAATAACGTTACAGCTTGTCGAACTCTAGTTGGGAGCTTCAATTAGTATATCTTAATAGAATCTGATAATGTGCTTTCTTTTTTTAAAATATTGGAGCAGAACGAAACAGAGATACACAAGAAATATAATTTATTTCATGCAACCGAGCAAGTCGAGACACACACGGTACTCGATTTAACAAATGCATCGGAAGTGTACATAAGTCATTGCGTGGATACAAACGCAAGTTTCCGTTGCCCAACTGTCTGATATGCATACAATGTCACGATTGCCGTATGTCCGTTCTTCCGCGAAATTTCAGCATAATGGATAAGTTCACGTTGACATTGATTTGCGTACTCCGATAGACCGATAATCGACACAATAATATTGAATATAAAAAATAAGGTATACATTTCATACAATATATTTATTGAAATTGTATATTGATTTTTACAATTTTTATAATTTTATTGATACATTTAATGAAATGTTTTGAATTTTGTAGAGTTGTGATTTTTTGGAATATTATCCAAATGAGCAGATCGTCGATTTAATTAGATGCGTACGGGTTCAAATTCATAATCATTGGTTCCGTGGGTTCCTCCCTGATTTTTGATCCGATTCCACCACTTGGCCTGCGCCATCAATATCATGGCAGCAATAATTATTATAACAAATGCCCAAGATTTCTGCAATATTAATAGAAAAGCAGATATTCTTCAAATTATTTTATTCGTGTGTAACATTTATTTGTTATATTAAAATTCGAAAGCGGAAGATTGCAATATCTTCAAATATGTATATCGATATTCTATACTTTTCAAAATCAATTTATAATTTACAATTCTAAACATTTTTATTATAGAATGCAGATTCGCAAAATTTTATGACTTTTTCTATCTTATCATTTATCTAAATAATAATTTTAAGACTTTTAGGTATTTCAACATCTTATGCTTCATACTATTTAAATAGTATGATTTATATTGAAATAGTAATTTAAATCAAGCTTTTTAAATTTAGAGTTTGAAATGAAAAACACACTGCACAAAATCTATGCAATATAAAAAATTAATGTAATATATCTGTCTCGTGACACTCAGAAATTTGACACAAAAGCTTGCACAGTTTTTTCTCTCTTCCGAAATGATCGTTCGACACAATCAAAATCAACACTATATACTCATCAAACTGATGATTGATCGGATTAATAATGAGCACTTACGTTGAACATGATTACTACGATTTTCTCTTCAAACAATCTTGTACAGTTCGCGGTTTTTTTAATGCTGACATGACTTCGGATTTCGACGAACGTATTTATACTGATGTCAACAGCTGTGCAAATAAACGCGGTCAATAATTAACAAAGTTGATTACGTCCTTTCTTTTCAATATACAATCAATGGATTTTACGCGCTATCTCTTTTTGTCAAATACAATTTAACAAATTTTATATATAAGACCCAGAATTTTTATAAGACACAGAATGGTGATAGAAATAAGAAGGAAAGAAAACTCTTGAAAATTATCGCCATTATTACAACACACTTCTTCGCAGACTAAATTGATTGAGAAAAAAATCCGAGGAACCACAGGGATGTCAATTCGAACCGGAGTCGACGGCGAATCCAATCGGCGTTAATCGGTAACTGATCTCATGCAAATCTGCAGTAGCACTTTGAAGATTCAGAAAGAAAGCAGACTAAATTGATTGAGAAAAAAATCCGAGGAACCACAGGGATGTCAATTCGAACCGGAGTCGACGGCGATCCAATCGGCGTTAATCGGTAACTGATCTCATGCAAATCTGCAGTAGCACCTTGAAGATTCAGAAAGAAAGCAAGAGGATTCAGAAAGAAAAAGAGGAGCTTGAGAGAGAGAGAGAGAGACTCTTCTTTCTCGGCCTTCGAGCCCTTGCGCCCGAGATAAAATCTTCGCTTGTCTTCGCGCTGGACCACGATCTCAAACACGATCGCGTTTATCTCTTCACACAAAACTACGAATCGCAATTAGTCTTTCTATTCCGCGTTAACCGATGTACGCATTAACGTTAATAAATTCTATTAGAGTTAACAGAAAAGTGCATGCTTCACATTGTTCATAAACATGTGCATCTCTCCTCGTTATTCTTATGCATGCGTACATTGCAAGACAGAGAAATATTTGTCATCGGATCATAACTGGAATATGTATTTGCGATGTGTGGAACGAGCATTATAGGATCAACCACTAAGAAGGGAGGAGGTTGAGCCTCGTTTCAATGTTCATCTCTCGCGAATCCCAAACCGCGCGTTGGTTCAGGAGGACGGTCGTGTGTTTGTACGTCGCCTGGTACGTACGTATCTGAAATACTCTTCGTCCCCGGCACAGGAAATCGTCGTTAGGCCCGGCGGAATTCAACGAGTGACACCACAAGTCACCGGAATTTGAGCGTCGCATAGCGTAGGTACCGCGCGAGTCGCGAGCCTCTTTCCGTGTTGGATTCTGATGAATCCGTACTTCTCATGGACTCTTAGATACGCGAATCTGCCAATTGATGGGAGACGGGCTCTAAATGAGAGATCACTGATTTTTCGCAATTTTTTAAAATTGTATTATTTAAGTATAACCGTTCTTCATGATGACGTGTAAAGTGATAAGTAACTGAGCTGTGGCGTGAATATTTATAAAGTCATCGATTTAGCAGATTCAATAAAACGTATAATAATTAAGGGAAACCAAAACAATTCCACGCTTTCAAACGATGGAATGCCAAGAGTTTTTCCACCTTTAAAATCATCATTGAAAATAATCCGTATTAACATCTTGAAATGATCCAAGAACAATATAGTGATGTATTCAGCCTCAAAATCATACATATTACACATCATCAAAAGTTGTAATCGTTCGCATCACCCAAGTTATTTTATATATGATTATAATTAACAGTAGGAATTGCAATCGTTAGCATCGTCGAAATGTTTTTTAAATTTTATAATTATGATTTAATTGTATTAATATGTTTTAATGTTTTTATATGGTATAATTGGGAAGCAATACAAATTTATAATATTCATTAACATCCTAATAATTTATGCTCTTGAGTTGGCCTGTACTTACATTAATTTTCCAATTTTATTTCAATATATAAGAGCGTTATAATTTTTACTAATTTATTATTGTATTATTTAACACCTGAAGTGCTGCTGCAAAAATCTGACATTTTTTATAGAAAATATATTTGTATAGAAGACTAGTGTACATCCGAATTTGTACAGCGTTTCAATGAATTTTTAAAATTCTTCGAGCTTTTTGAGACGTGTATTTTTATATTTAAGTTATTTTTTTGTTTAAGTACTTTGGCCTTCTTTCGCATTCCCGAGTTCGCGACTTCGTCTCGCGCTGAAAGCGAGGGCATTCCCGACGAATCCTTCCTCTTATTTTTATCCCGCAATGAACTTCCGAGTGGCGGCGGCGCTTTTCGATTGTCGATTTAACCACCCCGCTTCATCTCGAAACCGCCGACCCGTCCGTCCGTTCCCGCGCAACCCCCGGTGCGGCACCCTGCTTTCCCCATCAATTATTATCGTCCTTCTCGTCCTCGCAGGGCCGACGTCGACTCGGTGTAGGCGCCCTACGATTGGGCGCCGGGACGCCCGGCATCGCCATGGCAACCGACCCTCTTCGACGAGGGCTGCGCAGGGGGATGGGAGAGCGAATAACTCGCGAAAACACGTAAATTAAACGCACTATGGGGGTTGATGGGGCGGAATGGGGCCGAGTGGGTGTCTCAGACTGTGAAACATAGCCGTCATAAGCGGATATTAAAGCGTCCTTCCTTGGGGCAGGGTCCTTCCGCAGCCCTGAATCGGCTCGTAAACGCCGAATAAAAATTTTCATCCCCTTCCAGGAATCTTTCCGTTCCATCCCACCCCTCGAATGCTGTTTCTCCCTCTCTTCCCATCGTGATAATGAGATAAATCTCCATGAATTCTCTGAGCATTTATTTTTTTCACATTTAAACTTTTATATCATTTCTCGTAAAAGTTAATCAAAGAATCATGAATTTTTGGAGGAACAAAAGACTTTCCCGGATAAGATTTTAGATTCGACATCAAGTGCTGCTTTCGAGACTAGATAGTCTTTTTGTGCAAGATAAATATACATATTACAGTTGCTAAAATATAGAAGGTGTTTATCCCTCTCTTCCCATCGTGATAATGAGATGAATCTCCATGAATTCTCTGAGCATTTATTTTTTCACATTTAAACTTCTTATATCATTTCTCGTAAAAGTTAATCAGAGAATCATGAATTTTTGGAGAAACAAAAGACTTTCCCGGATAAGATTTTAGATTCGACATCAAGTGCTGCTTTCGAGACTAGATAGTCTTTTTGTGCAAGATAAATATACATATTACAGTTGCTAAAATATAGATTAAAAACCTCGCCTGTATCTTCACTCTTCTTATCTTATCGTTTTCTGTAGTATGGCAACGTCACGCTATGCAAACGTATCTCGCTTGAATACTCGCGAGAAAAATAAACATTTAAAAAATAAGTAGCTCTTTTGACGTAAATTATACTTTACGCAGAAGATATGCGTAGAAGTGTGTGTAATCAGTTGATCGAGTATGACGCATTCGGGACTCGCCGAATGAACAGATGTCCCTGGCCATTTGTGCGCATAGATTACCGTCACTTGTCGTATTTGCTGACAATTCTCCGCGGAACGTGCAACGGTTTCGCCGATCGACCAGCTGACCACCATCGGTCGTCGAAGAAGTCGACTAATATCGTCACAGTTTCTGCGCGACGGGCGACACGTGGACACAGTGCGATCCGTCTCCTTCTTCGGATTCCTCGCGCAGAATGCGTTCTCCATAAATTAACTTCTTAACTATACGCGATTGCTCGTCGTGCAAGAAACGTCGACACGCTTCGATCGCCAGTATTTTCGGGGTCGTTAAATGCAAATCGTGTATGTATGTATGTATATTTCTCTTCCCTCATAATCATTAAAAACGTGCGTCAAATAATTTCGAACAAGATCGCAAACTTTTATTCCCCTACACCTTTATGATCTGTCATTTTGGAAGAAATACATTTTTATTGGACAAAATAATCGAATCTTTCTCCGCCAGAAATCACTGATAAATTTTCTGATTTGTGACGCATGGTACCAAAAAAAACCAGAAGAGATATATATACATATATGTACAAAGCGAAGTCGAATACGGCGTGATTTACGTCGACATGTAAAAACGACCGGCGAAATGTATTCGAAATAATGTCGCGGAATGTCCATATATTTCAGGGGAACGTTAAACGTTTACACGGCAGACGTTTAACGCGCATTGACCGCACGGTTCGTCTCTTCGCGTTGTCAACGCCGACTCGCGCCGGTAGGTCGTTATCGCTTTTCTCCTCCTGTCACGAGAAACACCCGCGATATCTTTACAGCTTTGCTTCCGTTGGTCGCTCGCGCCAGCATTATATCGTAAATGCAACGTCTGAAAACTACGTCTACGTACCTCGTGTGTGACACTTAATTTGAATTCTCAATTATACAGAATCTGGATACTGCGAAGCCAACAATATTTCGATTCTATACATTTGCTGATCCTTCTATTTTGGTTTCTTTACACATTCTACGCAAAGATTGATTGTAAGTAGAGAAAGCGGAAAGGAGCAGATTAGTGGTTAATCGAAGGGCTTCTATCTACCCTTCGATGAGAAGTGGTCGAGAGGAGAGAGAGGATATAAGACGAAAAGGCTGATGGACCAGATCAGAGGACGCGAATTGCATTTCAATGGGTCCAGCGCGTACGTAAAAGCGTTTCGTGGATTCCACGAGGGTAAAAACCCTCGACGGTCGTCGGCGAAGAGAGCCACAAAGGCTGTCGGTGTTTTCGCGATAGCGAACGAGCTCCGTGGAATGCCGAGATCATCGCGCCGACTTTTCGGTTCTCGAATGCAAAGGAAAATAGTTGTATTACGACAGTTCTGTTTTTTCATTAAACAGATCTCGTGCAGTTCTGGGCATGTACAATACTCTTCCAAAGAGTTCTGATAATGGAAATCAGTTTTTTAAATAATTATTTTATCCGAGAAACTCGTATTTTCGAATAAAAATGTGAGCTGCTGGTTTCCCATATTTTAAAGCCCGCTCTTGCAATTATTAATTAGTTTCAGTCATTAATGCATTAATTTTATCGACGAGTTTTTCGGATTAAATAATTGTCTAAAATATTTCCTAAATATTTTCATGGACAGAACTCTTTGGATAACTAATGTACGTGCCTAGAACTGTACGAGAATTATTTTACAATAAATAAAATGCTCGAAATACGGCCGAGATATCTATGTTTGAAAATGTGAGTTTTTTGGGTTAAATATTTATTTAGTAACATATCTTACTGTCGGAACTATAACTACTATATATTACTAATAAAATTTTATTGCTAAAAAATGAAATGATATGCCAACTTTCAGTCAAGTTAGCATATATATATTATTTTTTGAATTTAAACCAATGAATTTTATAGTTTTCGACGAATTCTATAGTTCTACAACATTTTTTAATTAGTTTCAGCCATATGAGCGCGATAATTAATTTTTTTCAAATTTTAAGATCTATTATACACCGTAACGTTAGGTCAGGAAACATGTTTTCCACATTTTAAGAACTCCTGTCTTGCATTTTTTAATTAGTTAGAGTCATTAAAGCAATAATTAATTTTTTTTAATTTTAGATCTCATTTTAAACATCATTATGTTTGGTACTGACACGTGTTTTTTTTTTTTTTTAATTTTTTATTATCAAACTTAGAATCATTTCATTCATTTTTTGACATATTTTGAAGCTTGCTCTTGAATTTTTTAATTAGTTTAATGTAGTTTGAGTCACTAAAAGCAATAATTAATTTTTTAGAAATTTTGGATAGTAAATAATTGCGATTGTATTTCGAAAAATATGAATAATACGATGATATACAAGGCGCTTTTTACCTTCGTCGCTAAAAGCAACAAGGTCGGCCTTGTATATATTATGATAGTGCTATCAAACGGTTGCGTATACATACTTTAGTTGTCATTATGTGAAAATATTTAACCCAATACCAAGTAAATTCACGCGGCATAGTTGAGATTCCCTGTATTTCTCAAAATTAATTTGCAATATCAGTGTCAGTGCGACATATCAGTGCAGTGGCAATGCAATATTGGTGCAGCATCATTGGCCATGGCAGTGCAGTCTTCTAGTGTCACTAACACGGTATCTTTAAATTTATTTTCAAGAATTTATTATCCTTTTTACGTTTCATGAAAAAATAATAATTAAACAATTTCGTTTCCCGATTCAGCGACTTTCTTTTTCTCTTCGCGGATCTTTATTTTTCTCTTGCATTTAAATTAATTATTTCTTCGGGGGAAGAGAGGGTTGTAGGCATTTTAAGAAATTAAAAATCTCAAGTTAGAGATTATTTTTTAATTTTCAGTAGTTTAACAATTCATTTTCTTAGTTTAACAATTTATCACAGTCGTCCATGTGTTTGGTGCCAAAAAATACGAGTAGGGTTACATACTCTTAGATTATTTCTGACAGAAAAAAATTTATTTGTTAATTAATTCATATTAAAATTAATTCATATTAATCGTTTAATTGAAAAACTTTCAATTAAATTAGCTTGTATTAATCGTTTAATCGATCGCTCTCCGATTAATTTCGTTTATATTAATTGTCAATTAAATAACCTTCAATTGACTTCGATCATATTAATCGTTAATTAAGCGATCTTCGATTAATCTAGCTTATATCAATCGTCATTGTAACAATCTCTAATTAATCTTTCTAAAATTAATCGTCAATTCAAAATATTTTAATTAAATCTGTTCATATCATTTGTTCAATTAAAAAAATTTAATTGATATTTTGCCAACTCTGCTCAGAGTACATATGTATTTTCTATTTTTGTTTGTTTGTATTTCTATTTCTTTTACTTTTAATTTAATATCTTTATACGCAATATGCTATATATATACACAAGATTCGTTTTCAAATTAATATGATAAAAGAATTATTTCTATCTGATCTCTGGATTTATCTTAATATTCCAAATATATTAATTTTCAAATTAATGAGTTTCTTATTCATTTTAAGACTGCTCTGACCTAGTGCGCGCATAAGCTTATACATATTTATCCTAGAATTTGTATACTCTTTGAAAGAAGCATATGGTCCGACGACGGACCTCAGGACGTTCGAAGAACGCGTATAGATAAGGCACTTAGATTTAGGTGACACGCGCTACAAAAATACACGATGAAGGACTGGCCGGGACGAAAAGACAAAATTAGAAACAGTGAAAGAGAAAGAGAGGCGCGACGTCCGACCGTTTGTTTTACGGCTTCGCCCGTTTCCACGACATCGAGCTCAATTTTTCTTTCTTGGCGCATCCTCCTCCTTTTTCTCGTTCCCGATCTCCAGCTTCTTCTCCAGCCTCGCCCGATCGCGACTCCTTCATTTCGGAGAGAGCTCGTATTCTGACGTCGTATCCCGGTAACGAAAAATTAATACCCACTTTGACATAATGGCTCGTGACGTAATATTACTGTGATAATGTTCTTAAATCTGAAGATTTATTCGCGAAACAGATATAAAGCATAAATGGTGCACACGATGAATCGTAAAGGAATTTTTTATTTTTATTTATTCCTTATTCTTAAATAAGTCATTTTTTGTGTAATAACATTAAAAATTATAATATATTTTATATCTTTACTTATTATTGTTTAACTATGAAGGCTTAAAAATAGTAGATTCTATTGTTTTCTACGAGTTTTTTTAAATTAATTTTTATCATCAAAATTCTGAAAGAAAATATCATTAACACTATTGATGCCATATTTAAACACCCTTATAAGGGATAGACAAAGATATTATTGGCGTTCCATTTACGGCACGTCCGCAAATTCGTCAACAGGCACTCCGTTTAAAAATAAGACGTAAGACCTCACCATCCCTCTGAAGACGCACTTGGCTTATTGGCGTTTCTGCTCATTAGGATAACCCAGGGGGTTCTCCGACGCGATAACTCATTCAGCTCTGAGAAAAAGTAAATAGAGCGAGAAACGTAGAAGCGCACATTTGGGAATTCTGCGAGCAACCGAGATTATCGAGGAGACATTTTATTTTTGCTTGTTAATTTCACGTCTCGCTGCCGCCTAGCTCGTTTATCTCGCGCCCTTTTCATAATCTACATATCCCTTTTGGTCTTGACTCATTCGAATTCAAGTAAGATACTTATACTTCTCGTATTCCAAAATAATCTTTTCTAAAGAATCGACGCGTTCAAAATCTGTTCAATTTCATATACGATTCTCATGAAAATTTCTTGAATATATTTTGCCTCATAAATATATCATCATAAAGGATCATAATTATTTTGCAATATTTATAATATAAACTTTGTAAAAATTTATTTCATTAATTGTATTATACAATTACTTCTCTGTATTTTCAATTTAATATGTAATAAGAGCTTTTTTATTGAAATTAGAACTAGGAGTAATCTGGGTTTTTTTTTTTAACAAAAAGCATTGAAGCTACAGAAATTTTTCTTAGATAAAATATTTTGACAAGTAAGAATGCATGTGACGTAAAGGAATCGGAAAGCATTATTAATACTGCATAATCAATTAAATGAAGTATCATAATCAAAAAGTCTGTAATCAACATTTTTTATGTGATCGAGAAAACCATTATAGGATCAAAAAACTTGACAGAATTTTCTCTCATTGTATTTTTATATTAAATAAGTATATCTTAGAAAGGTCTCTCTATCTTTTGGGATATCTTTGCAACAATTTAAAGAGCTCTGTTACTATTGACAATCGATTACATCTACTACTAGATTTACTTCCATGCCATAAATCGATATCGTACGTCCACGTGAAAGCTGTCTACAACATAGAGATCTGCAAACTTTGTTAGTATATTTTCTTAAACATTGTCGGTTATTAAATTTTGTTTTCTTTAGGATTGATTAATTTTTGTTTGATTACATGAATTTGTAACAAACATTTAAAAGAGCTGAAAAGATTTATTAGTCTTTTATTTTTTAATTAATGTAGAATTATAATAGTTTTATACAGAAGAAAATATTCTTCTAAAGCAGTTTATTGATAGAATAGAAAAATCAATACTATTGCAAACAGTTTACAAATAATCTCTTTTTTCCCTCCCTATTGATTAATAAATGGTTTAGCTCGTATTTCTCATCTCTTCAGCTTGACAAGAGGTCACTTCTGAGGAAGCTGTCGGTAGAACAGAAAAATCAATAGCCTGCAACGTTGCCGCGTTGAACATGTCAAAGGTTGAGTGTCGGAGTTTTCACGAGAAAGCGATTTTTGTCGTGGAGAAAAAAATAAAGGAGAAATTCAAGGAAGTCTGATCACACGTGGGTCATGACTACGTCGCACATCGCGAGTACGTAGCCCAAGTGTTGTAGGTTCTTTGCAGTTCGTTCTGTGTGATCAATGTTGCGTGAGACAAGTGTTGTCTGAAAGACGTATTGTTAATGTCATGCATATTCTTCGGGGAATGTGTGTTTTTCGTGCGGATCTTCTTACGTTTATATCGACCTCGTCGAACAAATTGGTTGATGGATAACTAATTAAATTGTTACATCCAATCAAGCTCTTTGAAGAAATGTCGAAATCTAAGAAAAGGCAATCCAATAATCTTGAAAATAAAAAATGTTAAAATTTAAACTAAATCAAGGCTCGAGGATTTAAAAATTTCAGACTCTATTAAGATCCAAAATTATCGAATGTATAATATCCAAGAAATCTTATAAACATTCGAAGAATTTTATTTTTAAATAAGTGAATCTTTCTCTCACGAAGCTGTAGGTCTATCTAAAAACACATTATCGATTTTTTCGAAATGTCTGAGATTTCAAATCACTTTACATATCGTAGCTATTTATAGATCGACCTGCATAATATTTGATAAGTTTCGACTTTTGATTGACACTTTCTGATTTTCAGGATATCAGTATGAGTCTCTATCCACGGAGACGCTTTCGCATCACTCCTATGCGAGCTCTAGCAGTGTTCTTTTTGATGATCGTACTTTTCTGGTATAGCCTCAGTCGGCAAGAAATTCCTCAGCAACCGTGTAGTGTGTCCGAAGAATTTACCGAGAAATTACATGATCTCGCTTACAGGTCCATATTTATTCATAAAAAAGATCTGAAAAAATTAAGTCACAAAGAATACACAAAATGAAAATCACGCTCAATTAGTTTTATGTATATATATTAAATTTACATTATAATAATTATCTTTCTAATCTCGACGCAATATGTAAAACTTACAACTATATTAATATACATATAATATCAAACATTAAAATATTAAAATTAAGATATTAGATAAAAAATCTGAATTTTAAAATATTAGAATTAAAATCTTGTTTACATATGTAAATATGGCTTTTCATCATTTTATCAGAGCTCATTTGGTTCTCACTAAGTTGGGCATCGTTCACTTTCTCTGCCTGGGCGGTCTTTGGGGTCAAGTTCGTATAGGCCGTGCTTTGCCATGGGCTCGCAAAGTAGAACTATGCTTGGTAGACACTCTCCGTGACGATGTCTTGATCACCAAAGCCTTTCGAGAGGTCGGTCTGAGTGCAACCTATCTTCATGCGGCGGGAATTTACAGAATACAGGAGCACGAGGTCGGCGAGGATGCACCCAAAGTGGAAGTGGTGGTTTTCGAGGAAGACGCGGTGGTAAGAAGCGCCTTTTTCGCATAAAAATATATAGAATTATATTGAAAATGTAATAAAAAATTTTTTTAATTGAAATTTGAATATAAACAACACGATATTTTCAAAAAGTGCAAATACCTGTATACATTGTTAGATAAAATTAAAGATTGAACTCGAAGATGCGTACTATTTGTTTCGTTAATACTCGCTTCACATTTAGATCTGTTTTATTATCACTTTATTATTTTGTTGTTGTCACTTTATTGTTTTATTATTCTCACTTTATTATTTGGTTAATATTCATTTCATATTCAGATTTATTTTATTGTCGCTTTAATCGCCGGCTATAACTTCAACGATTCTTTCTTGCTTTTATGTCGAAAATAGTATTTGTATTCAGTAAGTTGCGCTTTATGTATCTGGCACGCGAATGTCAGTTCGACTTATACTTACTATACTATTGCTTTCATTTTTCTAAGAAAACTGAAATGATTTTTATGTACTTTGCAGCGTATTTCATATATAGGACAAACAAAGATAGTTTCTTTGGCAGCGCGTTTGTCTATAAACCGGCGATAAACCGGCTTTTATTGCTCTTGATTTATAAGAATTACGACCCAGACAAGTCATTATTACCAAACTTGCCAAAAACATTTAATTTTGAATTTACGAAGCGTACAATCAAATCTCACTTGAAATCTCTTAAAATTATTTAAAAAATATTTTAAAAATCATTAAAAAAAAAGAAAGAAATAGATATCTATTATAGAACGCGCCGTTACACTAACATTTCCGAAAGTTTTAATTATTTATACTTATGTATATGACGCAGACACAAATGGTGAGGAGGGTCGGCTGGACCAGAAGAGTTTTACCTCCGGATTGCGAATTCTCACCGAGTCTACAGTGTTTTCCACCCCAATTAGTAATACCGCCCTTACCAGCGAAACAATTTGGCGGTCGACTGATGCCGGTGCCCCGAGAAGGCATAGAATTGCAAAAATATCATTATCCCAACAACTGGTGGCTGGAGATCAAGCCCACTGATTGTACCGAGCCTCAAGAAACGAACGTGTAATATACAATCCTTGTGAAATTAATCCTAGTGCAATTAGAACACTATCTTCGTGAAATCATAACATTTCCTATGATTTCCTATGATCAGCCTGGATAGGATCTAAGAGTATTATACTTCAGTTGATTTAAACATAATATTAAAACCGAAATAGCTTAAATTATTGAGAAAAAAGAGATTGGGAAATTTTATTATAGTATAAGTATTTTCTAGAAATAGACAGGACGCGAGAGTAGAAGAGATGCATGTGATAAGGATGATAGGGGGATGAATATTTCTTATTTAATTGTAGATTTAATTTTAATTTAAAAAAGGGAAAAAGTGAGTTTGATCTGCGAATTTAATGCGACGATGCGATTACTGCTTATAGAAAGTATTCAAGTGTCGTTAAATGAAATCTACTAGTAGCTTTAACGATATAATGACTGACTGCTATAATCATCGTAGCAATTATATTATTAGAATTATAAGCAGTGTCAATTAGAATTAAGTCATATTTTCTAGTTTTTTATTCCGGATTTTTCTCTATCATTGTTCTTTTTTACCATTTCCCTTTTTATATCTTGTATTTTATCATCTTTTTATATATATTTTTTACCTATAACTAAATAAGAATTTTTATAAACTGAAAAATCTACATTTACAGATAATTAACTAAGCTGATAATTTTTTATGTATATTTGCATTGTTTCGGAGGTCTTTTAATTCTTCAGACTAGAAATTTTTAAACACGTATTTACTACCAGAAGTGCTGAGAAGATTATAAAAATACACGTGAATTATAATATTCGTACATATTCCTTGAAGCGTAAAATATTACATTTAATCGTGAGAAATTATAGTGAAAGTAGACGCTGTACTATAAGAAGAAAGCGAACTTAATTAAAATATACTGTTAACTTAAATGTAACGTGTGATTATATATACTTATTTACATGTTTCTTTATAATGCTTTTTATGTATTAAAAGCGGCAATGTGTCTTCTGAAAAATGATGTACTTCTTAAGCGATTAATTATAGATAGCTGTTATTCTAAGTAAGCAATCTTGTCACAATTTATTATAAGCTTTAATTGTAATCATAATTATTATTTGGCACAAAATAGAGCGAGAACAATAATACGCAGTAATGTAAAATATTTGAGTTATATACTTCTACGATACGAACTGGGCATACGAATCTGTGCTAATTACGAGTGTAATTATAATAATACATTTCGTAATGTTATAGTTACATCCCGAAATCTTCCAAATTGAATAAAAATCTGTACAAGATATTAGATATGTGTCTTTGAATTTAATTCATAGTAATTATATATATATATATATATATGCGTGAAATATATATTTTCTTCTAAAAATAGAAAAAGAAAGTCAAAAACTCGAACACAGGATCTCAATTATGACTCTATAGATTGACGAAATAGACGGCAGAGCAAAACTTCATTCACAACAATGAACACTCTTTCTAAAGAAATCTTCGAAAGTAAACACGTATCATACATGTTTGAAAGTATCTTGAAAGTACTTTTATAGACGTCCTCATTTACTTTTCTCTTGCTGGCTTCACGGCTCATCAGCTGCAACTATTTCTCGACGTAAACATCTCTTTTACGCTGTCACTTTCTTAAGAGAGTGTGTGAGTTTTATTTTAACAAAAGAATACATTCTATAAATATATAGAAATGTATTTTAATTTTAATTTATACACACATTATTGACGAAAAATATCCCTCAGTTTTGAAAAGCACTACAGAAAAGCACTTTACAATATTAAATTTATAAACTTTAAAACATTTTTTAATTGATAGTTACTTTGCAAAAAAATCGTTTTATTTAACATTCTTATACGAGTTCAATCATCTACATAGATGCGCGTATCTGCAAGAATACAAAGAATATTCATATTCTATAAGTCGAGAAAATAATTACAAATACAATATAATTCACATACATATATGCAATTCATATATGACTCACTTGTTTGAAAATATAATCTTTTATATTTTAAATTATTATATATCTCGATAATATCATTGATTTTTCTCTCGTAGATTTAAATTGTATGCCGTTTGATATATATGATTTGATTCATCGAATAACATATTTTATCCATTTATTTATTTGACAAAAAAGACGTTTTTAAAATATACATTTTAAATATATATTTTATTTAACAACTTGCTTTATTAAAAAAAAAATGTAATAAATATGATCTCAGTGTTACGACAACATGTGTAAACTATTACACGTGTATTGCCTTAAGGAATATAGAATAGAAATGGAAGGGAATATATAAAAGAAAGTCGCTCGTGCGAAGACTTTCGAGTTATCGATTTCAATTCGGTCCATTCAAGTTTTATCCGGCCACGTGAACATTTCTCTTCCGAAATCTCAGTGATGTACGGAGATTTACGCGTCCTAAATTTGTTTCGGGAAAGAACACGAATTGACACAATAGTAATAAATAATTTAAACTTGACGAATCTTGTCGCTAGTGATAGCTGTGCATTTTTTCAAATGTGTTGGAATAAAACTTTTGTTTGTAAAGTAAATTAATAGTAAATACCTGTTGGTATAAAAAAATGATGAAAAGAATCTAAAAATGTCGTTCTGTTCAGATACGTGCGTATACAAATCAATTATGTATTAGTTTAATTACTAATTTAATTAAGGCAGATTAAGTGCACTGGAGAGACATTTGTATTAATTAAAGGAATATTCTACATTATATACAGAAATGCAGGTAAGTTAATTAATTAATACTAAAAAGATTATAATTAAATACTGAAAAGAATAAACATTTGCGAGAATCGATATTAATTAAATAACATTTTCCAGTTAGCTGTAATTATTGCGCTTTTCGCCTTAATATTGCAATTAATGGAATTTGGTGAAACATATAAAATTATAAGACCATATAAATATTACAATCGTCATTCATGGCGACCACCACGATGGCATCCTCTTCCAAAACACTATAATTCTAAGAAAATACGACCGCCTAAATATCATCACTATGAACCATCCTATCACAGGTAAAATCATTAATATTTGTTTAAGAAAATTTTACCTTTATCTTTATTTAATTTACTTAATAATTTGATATGTTTTGTTTTGTTAAGTTTTTTTGTGACTTACTTTAATTATTATATAGATATGCACCCCATTATGAGGATTCAGCAGATACATTAGAAGATGATAAACCTTATGTCATAATCATACAATTTCCACAAAAAAAGGAAAAGAAGAAGTATCATTCCCATCAGCGTCAACATATTATAGATTCTCCGCGAGATAAGGATTATATTGATGACGATGAAGATGATAATAATGAATTAAAAGTATATGAGTTCGATGACAAAGGAGTGCAAATAAAAATAAACCATTGATTGTAATTCTTATTTTATAACAAGCATTGCAATTTGATAATTAACAAATTCTAACGATAAATTAAATTGTCAGTTTTAATATTTATATATCTTTTTATTAGTTTGCTATATTTTATCTATTTTATATGTTAATCTTTTTCATATTTAAAAGACACTGATTATTTTTAGATGTATGCTTATTTAAATGTATAATTTATGTTGCTCTGAAAATATTCTCTAAATATAAGTATTATATTATATTTATATATAGATTGCATTTATATGATTTAACATTTTTGTATATTTATTAAAATATTAATTTTAAAAATTATGTAATTTTTATTTGCAATTACTGAATTATTCTATCATAAATTATGATAATAAAAACCAAAAGTCAGAATCAGGATAAATCGATTCATTCTTAATATTACACCTCACATTTTTCAATGTAGTTTTTATATATTTCTAACATAATAGTCAACAAACATATTGTAATCGTAAATAATAATAATATACAATGTTGTGATGTTGATGTGTCGCTGCTGCAGTCTCCTTCTCGCGCAATTTATTTCGCTTTTGTCTATCCTCTCTTGACGCAACGTTGACAAAGATCACTCAAACAGATTCATTCGAACTTTAGGCTCGTGTTTACGTCGGAAAAAAGATCAGTCTTGCAAAGAAGTTTTCTCAAAATAAATCCTAAAAACAATCCGACAAAAATACATACTGCAATAACTAATCAAATCTAAAGAGAATTTTTTACTGCAAATTTGTATTATTCAAAACTAACAAACTTACAATACCAGTCAGCAAACTCAGTCTTTCCAAAATTTCGATTATTATAAATATATAAAGTTATTATATTTCGATGTGCTATATATATCTCCAGTTGTTACAAAAGCAACTACGTAATAACGATGGAATATTACAATGATATCTCGCCTGATTTGACGAAAGTAACTTCTACTTGAACAACGGCGATCCTTTCCGACGTGCGCCTCTTGGAACACATTCTTCACACTCCTTCGTAACATTACAATACTCTACAGCCATTTTTTGCAATTTTTAACATTTACACTCGACTCTACACAGCCGTTTTAATTAATTGTATTTCCTTCACGTGTTTTGTTTAATCGTTTGTGCGTCTTTGTTGATCTTCTACAGCCTCGCTCTCACACGCGGCGATTATATAAACATAGAAACATACAAACACACATGTTTTTTTTCTTCTACGTTATGCACGACGCATATTTCTTTTCCGTTTAATCTGCGTGAATAATTAAACTTTGTTTTATAATTTTTATCTCGCCATCAACTACTTTTTTTTCGAAGCACTTTATTGCAGGCTTTTTTAACGAAGCACTTATTGTTTTATTCCTGGGTTATTCGGCATATTTTTCCATTTCACTTTTCCAGTTCTTTCCTTTACGATTTTTTTTCCATTCATTTATTTAACGCATTTTATATTTAATTAAGGGAGTGCAAATGGATTTTTTTTCAGTTCGCCGAATAGAATCTGCTGCGTGTCTCGACATATCACATTTATCGTGAATGCATTTCATGCACTAATTTTATACAACGATCCCAATTTGTGCTATTCAGATGTCTTTCGCTAATATAATATAATTTTATTTTATATCAAGGATAATATATATATTATATATATATATAACAATGTAAAAATACATAAAAATTCAATAATTTCAGGAGCAAATGTTTGTATAACAAAATAAAAGGTTTCATATGGAAACCTTTCGAAATGGAAAATTAAAAACGTCGAAAAAAGTATAAAGCAAATACAAAATCTGTGTAAAATAAGAATCTTGCAAATATACAGGATTATTCAAAATCAAAAATCGTATCACACGCTTCAACGAAGGACACCTGAATTCACGCAAGCGTTAGGATTGATTATGCGTGTGTGATTACCGCGGCAGCTAATTAACGCACGTGTCTCTTTGTATATGTGTATATATAATCAGCGTTTCTCTGAAATACTTAATAATTATATCCGTTGTAATCACAGTCGATGTAAAGGTGTGTGTACATAGAGAGGCGATGCTCGTCGATACAATAAATTCTATATTTAGTCTTTCGTTTACGATTTTCTTCATCATCGCTTTACTTCACCTCTCCACGTTAATTCACGAACGATTCACGTCCCATCTTTCGAGTCCCGTCTCCGACGCATGTCCCGATCCTCGGAATTGTTTCCACCGTCTCATTGCAATTTCGATTTCACACGTGCGTGCGTGTCTATGTAAGGCGTGGCACTTGCAGGATATGAAAATCAAACAGCACACCCCAAAACTGCACCCGCAACAACTTCGTTTTCCCTTCATTTTTTTTTACGATTAACGCTCTACCAAGAAGATTTCTATTTGGTATCTCGAAAAGCATATGTACTCGTCGCGTTCTCCCTGCCCGTTCGAGGAGGTAGGCCATTCGTTGATGTCGCGCGGAAGTTTCAAGAGCGAGTTTTGCGGTGTGCTTCAGGATGACAACGAGACCACGACGGGGCTAGGCAGAGCGTTGCGGCGACAGTGAAAGCAGAGGCACGCTGGCAGGACCTTCCCCGTTAACTGAGCGTCATACCGGTGTCTCGAAAGTCACCTGTGGAGAACATCATTATTTCATAAGTTCATGTCAAATTCAAGAGATCGATTTAACATCGCGGGATTATTTGTTTTCGAAAAACGCGGGCAATATCGCGTTGACAGATCATCGTGTCAAATGCAGTAAAATATGGCAATTTTTCAATTTAAAGATATTGTTCAATATTGATGCACGCATATCTGAATATATTTTTCAAGCTATAGCTGAAATGGATCGGTGATTAAAAGCCTTAATAAACGTAAATGTATGGAGAAACATTCATAACTAAACGCATAAGACAATATAATTAGTGTCAGAATTGGAAACTACAATTACAGTGCATTTAAGCATACTAGAGAATTCATGCATATTTGCTTGAAGGGTAAGTCCACAAATATTCCTCTTGATGTACGTAGCGTATAAAGTACACTCGGAATAACAATCAGGACTGCTGCAATAGCTTGTAATAGAGCGCAGTATATGCATAGTTTGATTGTTTAGAGAAGAAGCGTTAATGATGGCGCGTGATAAGGATATTGTTCTGTTTCAAACAACATTACACATTATTATACATGATATTCCGTATATCAAGAAAGAGATTAAGATCATATAGAAATTATTAACTCTTATTAAGATATATTTTATACTCGGTTAAGAAGCATAAAGTGACGTCTAATTGAAATGAAACAATAATTATGACAGAAAATATTTTCTACGTTTTGTTAATTTATTTGAAAAATTGGTGCATGTCTTTTGCTTGATTTGCATCTAAAAATAGTTCCTGTATCTCTTTTGCGTCATCGAAAGGGCAATCGAGCCACTATCTTCACAATGAGGTCAACGTAATGAAGTCAAAGAATGACATCGACCCACCTCTCTAGTCCCTTTTCTCGATCGTTTCCTCTCGAGCTTCGGTGTTTGAGGTAGCAGGGTGTAATCGCCGCCAGCACCCCCGCTTCGCTGTCGCGCCACGGGGGGGTGAGATAGCACGGGTGCTCGCGGAGGCGGCGAGAATTGGACACCCTGCGGCAGTAATGAGTAGCCGAGGTTTTGGCTCTGAATGAACGGCGAACTCGGCGGAAAATGGTTGGCCACCACCGGCGTCCAATATTGTTGCGAATACCGGATTGGGGAATTCCCTGGAGAAGGCAGAAGAATCGCAATCACCTCCTTGACACTTGAACTCTTCTTCTCTTCACCTTTAAACATCTAACGTCTAATGACCGGTTGCATAAATCGAAGTATTCGTGGCGAGGGTGAGCTAATGCATTAAATTGCATGAAATGTGAAAATGACGTGAATGTAGATCGGAACCTTTGCAACGTGAAAGATCAAAATTCAAGGTCTACGATACAAAGGATATGTAGACTAAAGTAGCTATCATCTCTAATATCCCAAGGAAAAGGTTACGACACTCACTACTATCATTACGCGGATTGCTGTATCGCCTCTGCGCCTTCCAGGTCGCCGATCGAACCCTTCCGGCGGTTTCCGTGTTAACAGCATCGAAGCTAACGCTTCTCGAGACTCCCCTGTAAGGATTCGACGTGGCGTTCTCACTGGCAGTCGCGACACCAGCGAGCTGCTCGTTAAGGGCGTACAACTTGGACGTAATGTCCTTACCGATGAGGGTGTTGAGAACGACTTTGAGTAGCGGCCTGTGCCGGAGCACCCTGAGCAACCTCATTCTCGTCCAACAGATGTACGTGCTAGGTTCCTCGGCTCGTATTGTCACCTGGAAGACGTCGGCGTCGCTTTCGTGCATGGCTTCCCATTCGGGTGAGTCGACGAATTGGTAAGCTCTGATATAGTGCAAGTGTGTCCCGTCGCAAGTTACCTTCAATCTGGAATCGAGAGCGGGATTTAATATCGAAACTACTTTTCTACGTCTCGACAAAAAAGAAATTAAATAGAATCTTTTCTCCCCAATATACGATAAATAGATTAATGCAATTAATAAATAGATTCATCAAAGAATATAATAAGCTCTTATAAGATTCTGTTCTTTTTTTATATAATTTTATGGAAATCATAGAGAGAATATAAAAAAGTATTAGCGTCGCTCTCTATATCGATACAATTTCAATTAGTCTTCTTAGGATCAGTCTTCTTTTACAGAAAATTACGTTTCTTTTATGCAGACGGAATTAATCCTTCTAATTAAAAAAGATACTCACTTTCCTCGTAAAAGAATGGACAGCCTTTTATCTGCCTGCGTGACTCCTTCCGTCGCGTACGTCTGATCGGAATCCAGCTTAAGTATTCTCGCCTCTTTCGCCAGCTCCTGGAAGTGTTTCTTGCTGACCTTGTAGGGTTTGAAGAGTTTCAAGTAGAGCTCGGCTAATTCAGGACTGAGAGCAGGGGGCAGGAAACGACAGGCGAGTATCAATGAGTGAATGCCGTTCAGCAGACCGAGGGCCAAACACCACAACATAGCATCCAGGGCGCATATAGTGATTCCGGCCCAGAGAGCCGCCAACATAAAGCCCGCCGTGAGAAAAGTGCGAAGAGCTAAGATGGAAGCCTTGAACGAGCGCGGCACCAAAAACGCGGCCGCAAAAAATAAATTTGCTGCCTGAAATTAAAATATCATTACACTACTCAAATTTTCAAATTCTTCTAATAGGGAGAAAAAAAAATGATAAAAGACATTAATGCAGTATTACATGAAAAATTTAAAGAAGATCAAATTGAATCCCTATTACACTTAATTAAGCTTTATTATTAATTTAATTATTTATATATATTAAATTAAACTTTAATGTCTTCAAAGGCGAATTTTCCACCTGGAAGAGCTTGTGCTGAGCGGACTCCCATTCATCGCAGTAGCCACCCGGTATCAACACTGTCGCGTTCAGCCTCTCAGTGACGTTGTTGACCTCGGTGCCGTTCCAGACGTCCAGCCACAGTTCCGTGTAGTTGAGATCGTCCAGCGAGTAGCCGCCCAGACTGGACAGACCGCTATAATTGAGAGTGTAACCCTCGCTCGAGTAGGTCGCCGCCGATGTCGACGAGCTGGTGAACGGCGTCGTCGTCGAGGACGAGAGGAGGCTGCCGCCGGCCGTCGCGGGTGAATCAGTCGTGTTCGCCATTTTTTGTCGAGGGCGCGTGACACGTGCCATCACCATCGACCTCTGCAATACCAAGAACATTGGTCTCCTTTAAATATTGATTTTGGAAAATGTATATTTGTCAATTCCTACCAATGCGTCCTGTTTACATTATTTTCATATATAGTTGTAAAGAGACGTACAATATGTTATTTTGTAAGAATATTATATAAAATATATACAATAATAAAAATGATTAAAAAAGGAAACAATTGCCTCTTGATAATTAATCAGAAAAGCAAGTAGAGGTACTATAGATTTGTCGAGAAGATAATTTTAATATATCACGAAGTGTGTGTACCTCTTCATCGATTCACGAAAATCTAGCCAAGATCTAAAATCTTGATGGTCGAGCGGCCAATTAAGCTGTCGTTTTGAGTCAGAGGAGTTCTCTTCGTACGAGCAATTTTTCAATATTTGCTAACCGTATATCAGATACGTTTGAACTGAATTTCTGAGCGCTGTGGATATATGTATATTCTTGCCCTTAATATATCGAAATTACAGTTAATCACTGACTGTCAGATTTACAATGGAAGCCACAAACAACTGTGCGATTAACTTGGAATATTGATTAGGCTGTTCGTGATTTGGGATGCAATATCTGAGCTTTATTATCTTCGAGGTCGCGCGAAGGGCTGCGTGACTTTAGCATTTCGTTTCGCCGCCGCGCCGGCCCAAAGATTTCGCGGGATATTTTCTGACCAAACGGCGAAAACCTCAAAATAGCATGCAGTTAAGGATCGATTACGTCATCGCCTAGAAAAGTCGATCTTATCTGCTTTCAAGCTGAATTGTGCCCCGAAAATGCGCGAATGACTTCCAAACCGCAAAACCGAACAAAACCTCTTGGCACGTGCCAGCTTATCTCTCTCTCTCTCTCTCTTTCAAGATATATCTGCATAACTTTTTTGTATGGTAAAACAAGATATTGGATAGATTTTATACAAAACTCATTTCATATAAAGTTCATTTCTTGCTGCCGTTTTGATCCAATAATTTTATGATTTCTTATACAAGCTAAAACTACCAAATTGTATTCTAATAGGTTCCTTAAATTGAAAAGAATAATAAATGCATGCAATTCTTGCTCAAATTTAGAAACTAGGTATCTAATAATGACGGATATACTGATATCTGTATATATAAAATTTCTCTTATTAAATTATAGAGATTAAAATAATTTTACACATCTTTCTTTTCCCATAAAAGAAAAACAATCTATATCGTTGATTCAGACTCGATTCCGACTTAATAAAGACGTCGTCGATTTGCGCAATCTTATAAAAACTAATAAAGAAAATAAAAAAACGCAAAGAGGAATTTCGACTATCTCTTATTGCGAGGCATGTTGTTATCGATGCGAGCTGTGCGACCAGCCAGAAATGTCGTTTAAGGTATTTTCCGCTGACGCAGCATGCGTCAATAAGCGTGAATTCCGCTCTCGGAATGATTCAATATTATTATTCGATTTTCGATATTTCCGTCCGAGGTGGGCCTGTGCCACGCTTTCGCTTAACGGAACTTCGTTCCATTGGACGGAAATTCGTTAGGACACTCTTTCCGGCCTGATTCAACTACCGTACAATAGGTGTAAACTGGAGTCCAAGATAGAATCAGGATACATAGAAGACATGAATGCACGTGGTTAACTGTATTCAGATGATGATTTTGACCATTTTTTTTCTACAATTGAATATTTTTTATATTTAACTACGAAAGAACATAAAGTGATATATGCATCCAGAATCTATATTTAATTATTATCCGCTTTATGAATGAAAGTTTCATCTATTTTTGCAACATTTGTGCCATATCGTAAAGAAATGCATGCAAATATAAGTACTTTTTTTGGTGCGATATTTTTCTCGTTTGAAAAGAGTTCTAAATTGATGACCGAGATTCTTCAAATAGTCAACGTAGAATATGTATTTAAAACAGCGGTTATATAGGTCGTATTATATTACGAATTCTGGAGCTAATTACATCTAGGGCAAACCATTATACTGAAAAAAGCTTGATTTATCTCTGTGATACACAGTCTAGTTTTCCCTAAACGTATTAACTTAATTTCGCGTTCGTGCGATCCCTAAAGAGTTAACGTCTGCTTGCTGCAAGGGCAGCTCGTCCGTTTCGTTATGCAAATCCTAATTCGCGGCTTAGACCGCGCCACGATACAAGTTTGATCGTATCTTGATATCCTTTAGCTTAAATCTCTCTTGTGACGTGAGCCGTTCCTCGCAAGCGGAAACGAAGTAGCCAGAGATAATCGACTTTACAGGCGAGATTTCAACTGCAGATTTCATCAGTTGCTGCATCTAGTTGCTATGCCATGTGAGTTCTAATTATTCTAATAGTATATCCCGTAAATATTTTGACTCAAATATTCTAATCATTTTAATAATCTTCTTTATATAATTTTATTTTAGAATTCTTTACGGATGTAATATTAATTTGCTAAGCTGCGTTTTTCTATAGTTAAATAAAAAAGATAGCACAAGTATAAATTGACGTTTACATATAAATCTTGCGATTATTATAAGTTAAAACAATTAAATTGTTCTTATTCATTGATTTATCTTAGGAGATTCTGAAGTATATTTCTACTATTCAATGTTACCTCAATTGTATTCCAGTTCGTGTTGATCGATTGACTCATTCAATGACGTTACAGAGACAATTCGTACAAAACGAACGAATTGACGAAGATGCCTCTTAACAGACAGACGAAAAGTTTCAAGGTCATCGTGCCGCTGTATCGACTTGGCTCGTATGCTAATTAAGCACGAAAGTGGAGGAGAGGCTTTCGTGACTTACCGTGCTCACTATCGCCCTAGAAGACTTATTCGCGTATTCTACGTGGGCTCGGCTGGGTCAGGGTAAATCACGTGACATTATAACAGGGTGTGGTGATTTACGCTAGACTCTAAAAGCCTTGCAACGTGTGCAGCTTGCACATTTACAACGTGTCGAATTTTTATGCCTCCGAGCTCAGTCTTGGATTTGATTCTGAAAAGAGTTTTCAGAAAAAGTTTCACAAAGGGTCGATGGTGTAAAGAAAAATGCATGGTAATCTCATAAAGTCACGCGATTCAAACATGTTTATACGTATATTATACACGATATGTGTTAAGTGTCTTATTTATCTCGACTACTACTTTAAATAACTGCATATTGCATTTTTCTTCTCGCTGTAGATTTAATTTCGGTGTTGCAAAATTAATCATTTTGCTTGAAAAAAATAAACCGAAATTAAAGATCAACGATTAACAATATTTCAGAAAATTGTATAAATATATATGTATATTACATGTTGAATTAAATGCTATGCTAAACGATATTTTCTCATTGTTCGCTTTTCTATTCAATATTCTATTCACATTAATTGGCTTCCCTCGATTCGAGCCAACAGATTAGCATCGATAATACATCGGGGAAAAAAGCGAAGAGATATGCTCGCTTTATTGCTTATACCGTGAGTCCGTATGTAAATTAGGTCTCCTGAAAATATGAAAATAATCTTGTCGACGGGCAAGATATGGCTTGCGTGACGACAAGCTTCCTTGAGATTTTACTTCCGTTTGCCACTTTGTTCCGACCTCGAAGATGTCGGCTTGCGGTATAGAAAACTTTGATTTCGCTTCCACTAATTACAGTATATTTTTGGAAGATCGAAAATATGGGGAAAAAATTTAAACATAGATATGTAAATTGCCTATATACTGTAGCCTATAAACATACGAAAGGTACATTTCTATTTATAACATATAAAAGAAAATCTTAATATGCAAATGATCGCTTAAAAACCAATTCTATCATTCTATTATCTGATATAAAATAAAAAAATATTAAAGCGGGCAATAAAAATGCAAATGAGAAAATGACTGAAATTCAACAGCGATAACGTTACGTGACCATTCTGAAAATCAGCCTGGAATTACCGAGCGAACACATTCTGTCACTCCCGATTCGTTTTACGATGGACTGCGGTGGCTTGTCGGACAGCTTTCGAATTAGATTAAAGCCGCATATTGAGATCCCGAAGCCAACCCTTTACTCTCCTATCCTCCGAATACCACTAAAATCGTAACCAACAAGTCATAGAAGACAGAACTGCAACGCTTGATCAGACAATCCAATTTATGCTGATGGAATTACGTATTTCTTATGCTCGCTTATTTTCAACCATTACCAGAATTTCCCGTGAGCTATTATAATTAATAGGGATTTCTCTCCTCATACTGAATATTATTGCATTTATTTCATCTGTAATTTTATCAGTATATAAAATATTGTATTTGGAAATTTATGACTTGACAGATAAAGACTAAAGATACAAAAGACTCTACTAAAAAACAATAAAATTAATTAGAAATTAATTAGAAACAGTTACTTATTACTTTTTAGTTTTTTAATCGGAATTAAAAACATAAGTAGAGTATCAAATTGTTTTAAAAATAGCGATATTGGCAAAAAATGTAAGTAAATCTTTCTAGCAAAAATGTCGATTGCCATGTCATGAAGATCTTTGCTGAAACATGTTGGACTTGAGTTTGGACTTGCGCCGGAAACACTTGTTGCCCCGTCAAGTTTATCGTGCGCGAATCCATCGCACGTAAATTGTTTCATGCGATTTTCTCGAGCTCCGAGTCTGGAATTCGCGATTACATTATAAGTAAACCAGAATCGTGCGCGAGAGTATTATATTTTTCTCATCTCTCGCACAAGTTAATTGTCAACTGTACATTTTTTCTCAAGTATCACAAATAAATCGCATTAACAATGCTTAATATTCAGCGAATCGCTTTTTTACCGAGTACGTAAGTCCTTTTCCACTTTAATAAGTAGTATAAATAGCTTACTATTCAGACAAGTAGTAAAACCTACAGCTAAGCGTAAAATTCCCAACTTGCGAAGCACGATACTGCTTACCATATAAAGTGGCAATCTTAACCCGAAGACGGGGGATAAGGAAAGAATACAAGGCGATGCGAAGAAATCTTGTCTTTACGAGATTTGATTCGAAACGATTTCGAATAACGCGTATCAATGACACGAAGAAGGGAGATTTAATTCCCCGAATTATGGGATCGATGACTACGGCATAAAACACTTTGATGGGGTAGTCTCTTATTCCCGTAATAGTAAATAGCCAACAGCTGAAAGCAACTGCTTATAATGTGACGCGTGGGGTTGACGCGAGCGCCTTGCAAAGGGAGAGAGGGCTATCGACCCTTTCGACGACGACGGAGGAACCACGCGGTCTACTACGTACAACCCTCCTTCTTAAAGGCCGCTACACACTGCGACACACGTGTCGACGAATCGACTATACATATAGCCTCCAATTTCCGCGAAACGTGATCCGAATTCAAATTCCAGCTTGTAACGAGACAGGTGTATTCTTTTTTCTTTTTTTTGCGTATTTATATTCAGAATAAAAAATACTGATACGCGTGCAGGCTTCAACGTATGAATATTGCGTCATATTGTGAGAGATTCAAAAGCATATCGCACAGACCGACCAGTTTTATCAATGTAACATTGAATTGTATTATTCAACATTATACTAATTGTATAGTATACTAGTCATTAGACTAATAATTTATAATTTATAATTAAGTCTCTGATTGCGTGGAGAACAAATTGAATTATAAAATACAGCTATTTTCTTTTGATTAGATTATAAATTCATATCCTATATTATTGTATTATGAAAATCAAATTATACCTTTGATATTTTCACAATTAAGTCAGTTTGCGCGATTTAGAATGAACGGTATTTTCTTTGACTAAAATATTACTCATCTTCGTTTTCCTTCAACGACCGAAAGATAACGTCCAGTTTCGCAGAATTGTTACGAATTACAAAGTTAGCCACCCGTTACTTGCAAGTTTCGTCGCCTCTTTGCACGAACGTAAAGCAACAGGTAAATGCTCTAACGTCGCATGTCACAATTAATTCCTTTTTTTTTTCACGTCGAGACAACGCGAACGCGACCACGATTAGAGAGATTATCGCGTAAGAGATAGAGATCTTAATGGCTGAAAAGTGTTTAATTTCTTTTGTAACGCAACTTTTTATTTTTGAGAAAAAAAAGATGTATATTCTCTTACATTATTTGCAACTTATGCGTCTAATGTTTCCAGTTGCATGTCGCTCAGTCGCAATCTCTTAACTGCAATCGAATGACTCAATTGTTACCGCGTTTGCTCCGATTCGTTTATGATAAATCCATACGCTAAATGTTCTCTTACCTTATGGTGGATAAGCGATATGTCTTTTGAAGTGCAGGATGATACATCTCAGTCTACTGGGAGTATGCGACGACAGCAGCGAGCACGAAGACGCTGGGCTTCCTCTGTCCTCGTCGAAATTCGCGATGCGAACGAACATCATTGCGCGCGATACCATCGCGATCGATGACTTCTTGTAACTTCGGTGAGCTTGGCCACGCAAGGAGAGGATCTCACGTAGATCTCATCACAAATAGAGTCACAATAGTTATCGTGAGTCTGCTCTAATTTGTTTTTTTTTTTTTTTTTTTTTTTTTCTTTAACGAAACATCTCTTCGCTCTCTCCTCGCGGCCTTGTCGCAGATGCCTGAAACATTACACGGAATTTGCGGGAATCAACGAGAATCCTTCATTGAAAACTATTAAAAAGATAAACAGGCGTCACAATCTTGTCTCTCTTGGTATTACAAAGTTTCGGACGAGTTAACGCCAGTTAGTTGAGTTTTCATGATTAATTCGCGCGAAGTGATTATAAGCGCCAGCTACTTTGTCATTAATTTGAATTAAAAAATTTAATTAATGAAACGCGAAGAAGGATCTTTTCCTAATTAAATTTTAGATTTTTTAATCTTTTTTGTAATATCAAGAAGTGAACAAGCATGTAAAATAAAATTCATTCTCTTTTAAATTTAATTTTTAAACACTCAAAGCGGTTAAAATATATCACCATCAGAGAGTCTTATATTTCTCAATTAGTTTAAATTAAACAGTTTTTGAAAAGACTAAAATTTTTGTTAAAAATTTATTGAAAGCTCTCTGAGGGTGCATATTTCACCATTAATTTCAGTTTAAATTTGAAACACTTCAAGCTTCTATTAATTTAGAATAATTTCAAAATATAACTTTGTTAAAGAAGTAAAAGAAAATGTCATTTCTTAAAGTTATCACTTTTAAATAATAGTCACATTACTCTCATCGTTATTACAAAGCAATTCATTACACACAGACCGCAAATTGAATAGATATTTCACTCTCAACCATCAAGCAATGTTTGTTTATCAATTGTTTCATTCGTAAATCAATAAAGCTCTACTGATTACGACATGACATTAAATTCAAATAATTATTCTTCGTAACTTTTATCAAATTCTTTAAACGCGAATCATCCCCTTCAGCGTTTCGTAAGTTAGAACATCATGTATTCTTGCATCCAATTGCAAACCAATTCAAATCAATCGTCGTAACTAACTCTACATAGATAAATTAAAGCTGATCAAATTAAAAGATTTTTCTCTCTTTCACAAGATTTAAGAGCCAACAAATAACACACATACAGGCATACACATACACGCCTTAAATGCATCACTTTGGATCAATAGCAATCACATATTATTCATTTTCTTTCACACTCTCTAGAACTCTCCTGAAGATTTTTGGAAAGATATTCTTGCAACTACATCGAGATCAGAGGAACTTACGCGAATAAGTAGTAAAATCGACGATTTACGCTACAATCTCTCGCGAGTCAACAACCGTGCGTCCGAGATGCGTGTTCTCATCATATTATATTGATCAATAACATTCACGCATCATGCTTATCAATTCTCTCTCATCCACGATTCTCCATCAACTTCCAACGCAATCACGCGCCAAGAGAAAAATGAGATCATCGTCAATACTCTCTCCTCTGGTAGCTTCGCTCGACATTCTCTCTCTCTTTCTCACACACATTCTCTCTCTTGCATACACACACACACTCTCTCTCTCTCTCTCTCTCTCTCTCTCCAGCATCCCTTGTTCTCAACGCACCGGATGTTCCGTCCGCTCGTCAGCAGGGGCACAGCGACAGCATCATTAATCTGGAAAACAGATCGTATTCTTCGCTGGAGCACTGTTTACACGGCAGAACTGACGCCATGGTCACTGCTGCCAGAAGCGATGGAAAACGGTCCTGGGTGGCGACGTGTCCTTCGTCCTGGCGATGGTGGAGATGGCGATGACGTTCTCCCGCGGAATCCTCCCCGTCCGCCAAGGACACGACGTCATCGAAAGGGAAGAACGAGGCATACGCAGGACGGCGAGCACTTCATAAGTAGCTCATCTCCGCGCGGAATCTCCGCACGCTGATGTACGCGCGGAGTACGCCAGCCTTGCTTTCTCTCTCTCTCTCTCTCTCTCTCTCTCTCTCTCTCTCTCTCTCTCTCTCGCTGGTCACCCCCGAAGCGGAGCTTTCTCACCCCTTTCTCTCCCCGTCGTCCCTTCTTCACTCTGCCCACCTGCCCACCTTCAACCCCCTCGCGCTCGCTCGATCGCTCAAGCGCGCGTTCCTCTCGGCTCTTAGCCACCCTGATCCGAGGGCGCGAAACTGTGTACTCTCGGGGGTTGCGCTCCGTGCGATGATGCGCCTCTGGAGGCTCTCGCGACACTAAACCATCCTTGGAACTAGCGCCACGCCCTCCGCGTAGAGGGCACCACTACTTGTTAACCCTCTTGCCGAAGCCGAAGGGATTGCTCCGCTGTGAGTCTCATTCGATAGACTTTCAAATGGTTTCCTTCTCTGTCACCAGCAAGAATACCAGCTTTCTTCCGAGCTTTCGTTTTTTTCTTATTTTCTCTTCTTACTTATAAGTTTCTTCTGTATGCGAGCTCTTCTCGAATTTAGCTCTTTTTATTGTGTGTGTGTGTGTTGTGTGTTTGTGTATGTGTAACATGCATAAAAATATATAAATTTATCGAAAAATTAAAGAAATTCTGGGATTATTTGACAATTGGATTAAAACAATGCAAACCAGACAAACTACAATTAATAATGATGAACACACAATTTTATAAATATATAAATATTTATAAACATTTATTTTTATTTTTACATTATTCTTTTCAAGATAATTTTTTTTTTTTTTAGAACATCTAGGAGCTGGTAAAGGACAAACTCATAAAATAAAAATAATCGATAGTATTGAGATAACAAGACGCTTTTTGTTGATGCTACTTTATGTTTTTATTTATTTAATTATAAATATGTTGTTTTCAAATTTGATTAAATATATTATATGTGTAAGTATTTTTCTTATATTTTTTGTAAAAATCTTTTTAATAAGAAATTCTTGTTTCACTCGATCCTCTTTGATCGATCATGATTATTTACAAACATTTTTATAGGCGCATTTGTGTGCATTTACTTATAAACATTAGATTTACTTACATTTAGCTTTTTTCGAAAATTCATTTAAATATTTTCGTTTCCTTTCTTCTCAGACTAGAATTTTCATTCTCCGAGTTCGTCGTCAAGTTGAATATTTACAAATATGTACAAAGCATATTAAATTTACATTATATGCATACTTTTCAAAAGGTGCCTTCGTTGCAAATTTCGTTGCTGGGCAACAAATCTACAGAATATATATCAATATTGCAGTTAGTAGGAATATATTCTTTGATGAATTCTAGTGATGAATTTACTAGCAAAAATTCAAGGGATATGTGTCTAAAATTATGACATTTTTAGTATTATATACTTTAAAATTTAACCGCATCTTGGCGGTTTTATTAAAGTCCAACAATGTAAACGCGCTGAACGGAAGTAAAAGCGTGCGCTTTTATTTACCGCCACTTTTTTATCGTTAGTCGTCATATGACTTCCAACAATCCGCGTTCTTGTAGTCGAAGAGCTGTACATCGTGCTCGGCATCCTCAGCGTCACCGAGCAAACTCTCGTAATTCGAGTAGGAGGCGTAATGCTATTCCTCGTCGACGATTTCACAACTATGATACTTGCTGGAGGAATCCAACCAGCTTTCCACACCACTGGAGGCCAGGTCATCGCAGGACGGTAGTTCCGGAAGAGGTTCCATATTCGGCGCACCCTTCTTCGTTAAATTATTCGCTGCGCGTTCTTTGGACTTGACGTTGCTAACTAAAATACAAACAATAATATATTAATATGAAAATCAATTCATATAAATACAAATCAATATAATAAATATTTTTAGAATTAATTTATATTAATTAGAGAGGAAGCATACAGAATTCTTTAAACGATTAATTCGGATCTTAGACCGTAACAAATACCGTTATAACAAATACCGTTGTTAGATGTTGGCTTAGCTTCTTTCCTGCGGATCAGAGCCTGTCTGTACGCTCGAGGACTTCTATATTCGCCGCTGATGCCTAAACCAGCACTAATTGTAGGAAGGCGAATGTCCAAGTGCGATCCCTTGTCTGTAACTATCTAAGATATCAATAAAATCAAAACTTTGAAATAAATTTTAAAGAATGAAATTTAGTAAAAGATAACGTATATTAAATATTTTATTACATATTAATTAAAAGAATATTAATTATAATAATATATAATTTTATGGTTATTTATATAAAAATATAATAAAAAAAAATTTAAATGTTATAAATGAAAGAAACTTATAGATTCTTACAATAAAAATTCGAAGATAGAATATATTATTACAATTTAATTTTTAAAAAGTATAAAAGTTTATATTTTTTTTAATCAAAAAAATACCTTATTATTCATTGCATACAGTTTTGTTGCAATATCTCTTGCTACTAGCGTGGTTAAGATAGTTGCAAGATAAGTTTCCTTCACAAGCAGATATTCCAAGGCTGTTCTTTGCCAATATAAATATCTGCAGGAACTCGCTGCTATGATAGATACCTGAAAGATTTATTTCATTTCAGATTTTTAATAATTAAATATAAAATAAAATAAAGCGATACCTTAAATTTATCATCGACAGAAGCTCGGGAACTTTCGAATTCCGGTGAATCCAGAAATTCGCAGGGCAATATGGGATGTAGAAAATTAGTATCGCTCAAGACATTAACTTTGCCAGTCAAGAGCAAACCTAATCTATCTGTTCTCGTTAGGTTTTGCATCGCATACGCCTCACCGGCGTGGAGAGACATTATCGTCGCAAATTCTGCCGATACTAATCGTTTGAATTGCAATCGTGAAACCTGCGTTAAAAAGAAAAGCGAATTAATTTCAAGATAAAAATTAAATTTTAATAAAAAAATATATATTTTATCTTCGAATTTTTATGCATTTTACTCTTTCGAAAATGTATCATGTTTACGAATTTACAATATTATTGTAAAATTTACTTTGAATGGATAAAAGAGCGTGTGATAAGCTTCCTCCAATTCGGGATCAAATCTAATGGGTCTCATCTGATAAATGATGTAGACTAATTGACCGATATTGAGCAATAAAAAGCTGAAGTTCCAGGAGAAGATATCTGGTGCGCATATCACGTGCCAAGCCCATCCTGACAGTAACATAAAACCTGAAAGGAATGTTATAGAACTTCGACAAAGAATTTAATAATTGCAAGTTAAGATTAGAATGATAAAATTGCATACAAATAACTAGTAGCAAATAAAAATAACGATAAAATTTGCAAATTACATCGCGCTTTTTTAATATAATGTATTATTTTAGGACAAATTTTTTCGAAAATGCTTTACACAAAGAGAATTTGCATGATTAATTACTTACCTAGAATTAACACTGAATGCATAAACACAATCCCCTTTCTAGAAGACGGTGCTGAATATGACAGTGCAAAACAGAAGTTTGCCAACTGAAATAAAATATGTTGTGGTTGTTGCCACAAGCAGAGAGCAGTGTTTCCTTGAAAAGAATGAAAAAGAACCGATAGATTGATTTATTGCTTTTCATAAACTTTCTATTCACATTAACGCGGTAATATTTCTACATGCAACAATTTAACTTTTCATTCTTACGACAGATGTTTCTCGTTATCACGCTTATTTCTCAAAAAAAATGATGAGATAAATAAGCAGTTAATTTTTTCTCGTCTAATTTTATGAATAAAAATGTTGATATCTCAACGTATATATGAGGATAGAAAAATCTTACTCCAAAATGTACAAGGATTATTCGTCTCTCAAACTCACCAAGAATAGTGATGTTGTACGATGACAAAGGATCGTGTCCCAAGCCAGGACTCATCTTTCTCGAAGCGAAATGCACTATTACGTATTAACAAAGATATCAGAATCGGCTGTTCATGTTCACTGACATTTCTCGAATAAGAACTTGGTGTGTTTTCACCCCTCGTACACGCGGACGCTGAAGGATATTCTTCAGGGCGCATGTGCTACCCTTATAGGATCGATACTATTTTCTGTCGGTCTGAAGGGATTAAGGATGACAATTTTACAATACCGATACGCGATAAAAGAAAATTATAAAATAATATGTTAAAAGAATAAATTATTGCACAATGGAAAAATAATATAATTAATACGTACATAAAAGTTTTTCAGAGGAAATTGATTGTTAAATTAAACTTAAAAGAAATCATTCTAACATATTATTATCAGGCTTTTAATTTCTTTCCAATTTTTATTATTTTTAATGTATCAAAATCATAATTGTATTTTTCATGAATTTTTTGAATAAATTTTTAATTCAACTTACAGATAGCTACAAAATAGCCTAGACCGCACTATCACGTCCAACATTAACGCATAAGACATCTTGAAGATGTTTTTAAAATGTGTTTTGAATATTATATCATAAGATTTCTATAAGATCAAATAAGAAATTATTTTTATCGGCTCTCAGTATTAATAATAATAATATAATAATGATATTTAAATCGGCTAATAGAGCCTAAGTGCGAAAATTAATTTTTTGGAATTGTATCTCTTGGTTTGAAATTATTAAATTCTATATATTAATTAACCTCGAACTTCTGGAAAAATAGGCAAAAAAAATATATTGAAAAAATGAATTGATATGTAAGTTCGAGGTTAATTAATATATGGAATTTAGTAATCTCAAATCAAGAGATACGATTCCGAAAAATTTCTTAAAAATGTTTTAAAGATTCTTAATGATGTCTTATGCACCAATTTACATAAAACATCATAAGGAAATAATATAAAAAATTTTGTTTCTTATATAGAAATATATTTTTTCTTTGTAATTACAATTATAAATAATTTCGAAATACTTGCAAGAATGACATATGTAGATCATAGAATGATGATCTTATTAAAATTTTTAATCTTATTTAATCGCTATTAAAAATTTAATTGTTAAATATTTAAGTTTTCATTTAAAAAAATAATGGCATTCAGAGATGAAAAAAAATGCACATAATGCTGTTAAATATACAATTTGCATTTTTTAAGAAAGATAAAAAGATAAATAAATAAAGAGGTAAAGAGATATAGAGAATCAAGAGAGAAAGATAAAAGAGAATTGATAAAAATATAAATATATTCTTATATTCTTATTAAAAAGTTTAACTTTTTAATTCTGCTTATTTAGCAGATATATAATCCTAAAGCCAGATAACAAAAGTAATCATTTTGATATCGATTTATATCAAAATGACTACTTTATGCTACTTGAGAAGGATTTTACATGACAGTTTAATTAATTTAAAAGTTATTAACTTTGGAACTTTATATATTGAACAATTAAATTTTTAATAACGATTAAATTTTAATGAGAGCATCATTTTATTTATGTCAATCTTATAATAAGTATTTCGAAATTTTCTACAATTGTAATTATAAAGAAAAAATACATTTTTATATAAAATCAAACGTTTATATTATTTGCTTATTATATATTTTATAGAAATTTTAAAATATTAACAAATAAAATATTAAATTTTAAAAGATTCAAAGTTATAGCATTTTAATTTTTAATATAAGTAATATTTTTAAAAATTTAACTTTTGATTTAACTTAATTTAATTTTAACTCAACGTTTGACTAAGTCAGTTTTTGATCATTCATCTTTTTTAACGTAACTTAATAAATTAATTTTTCATCCATGAAGGCCATTATTCTTTTCTATAAAATCTTAAACATTGAACAAATAAATTTTTAGTAATAATTAAATTTTAATACGATCAATCTATGATGTGTGGCATTCTTACAAAGTATTTTGAATTTTTATAATTGTAATAAAAAAAATACATATTTATAAAAATTAAAAACTATTAACTTTAACTTAACTAATTTAAAAATATAATTACCATACAAATAAGTTTATCTTAGCTTTCGCAACTTATAACTATTAACTTATATATTAATTTAAATTATTTTAGTTCCTTTAATCTATAATCTTATACTATATATCTCTTACTTAAGACAAAAATATAATTTATTCTCCTGTTCGTACCATCTTAATTAATGTAATTAAGAACTATATATCTAATTAGATAATATATAATTTTATATATATATATCATATTATATATAATTATTATTTTTTTATTAGAATAAAATTATCATTTTTCCTTTAATTATTACCTCCATTCTTTTTAATCAATTACAATCTCGTAAAATTTATTTTATCAGAGAGAAACTTTCTCTAGTTCGGACATGAACCATATATTATGGAATCGAACCATTTACCGTGCTTTTTACCGAATGTCACGAGGTAGTTTATGTCCACTTTGTCAGGGGTCGCGTTAGTACACGCGTGGAGATTTTTGCAGGATAAAGACAAAGATTTGAATTAGAGAGGTTTCTCTCTGTTTGAATAGATTTTATATTTAGGAGGTCAATTTATACGAGTTTACAGATAGATGTATTAAGAAAGAATGAATAAATGAATTGTGTTTACAAATTGATAAACGTAACTAAGTTCCAATAAACAAAACAGTAATTAAAGTGTGAATATATAAATATAAGTTAACAAAATGAAAAGTGCGAATCTTCGTGATGGTAAGTGCGAAATCTTCATAATCGATGTAAATAAATAATTTAAAAATATTTAAAAATAAGATAATAATCCTTCAATTTCTTTAATTTACCACAAAATATTCTAACTTGGCTTAAATATTTCTCAGAGTGCTTACGCATGTTGTGTTGCCCCAATTTTTCAAACGAATAGTGATATTTCATCGTAAAATATATTTTTGTTTTTCGACGTTTGCAACATTGAGACGCGAACTTTCTTTCGACCGGCAAGGCGCTGAAGTTACTATGGAATCGATAAAGAGTTCAGAATGGAAGCCAGTCATAAACAGCTTATTTATCTTCGCAATAATCGGCCGCCGCGAGCGCTTGCGACGTACGACAAATCATTTTGGGGTTTCAAGTGAGTGCAAAGGAAAATGCGCCGTTAATGTCAGAGCTAATTAAAGCCCGACATTTGTTCCTTCGCACGATTAAACAGCTGACGAATAAGTTTACGCGTTTCTTGCGCGACTTAACCTCCCAGAAGAAACTCAAAGTATGTTTCTAAAGATTGTTTTGTTTATTTTATTTCTATTCGGTTATTTTGTGTGTGATAAGATATTTTTCTTTATTCAGATTACTTTCATTTTTTAATTTAACTTTATATATTAATAATTCATGACACCACTTTTGCATTGCAATGTTAAGTAAAATAGTGTTGTGATCAAAGTGAAAGTAGAAAGAAAACTTTTGACAAATATTGTTATTTTTAAGAAAATTCTTACTTGTAGTTGCAGATGATCAATGTTGGGAGGATGGTATTGCAAATCCATTGCCAACAACAATGCAGACGCAGAAGAGGAAGACGATGAAGATAGTCCTGAGGAAGAAGTGCCTAACTATAAGGACCAGTATCGCAACCTCAAAAGGAAGCTGAAATTTCTCATTTATGTATGCAAAGAACATTTTTTGTTTAATGCTATTTTTCTATTTCACATTACTCATTTTGACAAAATATTGCATTACAGGAAAATGAGTGTTTTCAAGAAGCTCTGCGTTCTACACAAAGAAAACTGCTCAAGGTGAATAGAGACAAGAGTTTTTTGTTGGATCGCCTGCTGCAATATGAAAAAGTGGATGCATCATTTAGTGAAAGTGATGAAACAGAGTCATCAGACGAGGAAGTTGTTCGTCTTGATAATTCTAAAAGGTAAGCAAGTTGTATATATCTAATTTTACAAAAAAAAAAAACAGTTTTGTATTTAACAAGAAATTGTTGAAATTTATTCAATTAATAACTTATTTAACTTAAATTATATATTTTAACATAACATAGTAGAAACTTGTTAAATATTATATAAGAATATTGTAGAAAAAACAATTTTTATATAATAATTATATATGAAATTTTTAGAAAAAAAGTTGAGATGAATGTCAACAATCATACTTCTCATCATTCTTCAATGGTTACAAAACCACTCAGTACGAGCAAGAAGAAAAAGAGTACACCAAAAGTTGCTAAAACGAACAATACACCTATAGTATGTGCACTTACATCTGCATAAAATATTTTAAAACCAAATATAAGGATATTGAAACTAGTATATCTTCAGGTACAATCCTCAAATAATATGATTCCAATGTCTCTAATGTCTGATGGACATATGACACCTGAGGAAGTGGAGAGACATTTGGAATCTCGTCAAACATATCTGGAACTTGTACCAGAAAAAGCACCACCTACAGTTCCAACGGAAATGTTCAGTAACGATCCTTCCTTGGACAGGTAAGCATTTTGTTCTGTAATGAATTTTTTCATGTTTTTTACGTCTTTAATTGGAATTATTAAAATAAAATTCTAGTGAGTCGAATGAAATTGGAGAACTTGAAACATCCCCTAGTAATATGGGAGAAGATTGCCTCAGTGTGGACATGCTGGCGGAGTGACAAACATTCGTTTATAGTTTACTCATTAACTATAACAAAGTGCACATAGAATTACATGGTTCTTTAAGATATTCACGCGACTAACTCAATTGTATCCACTATGACATAATACAAATTTTTATACACAATAATAAAGAATTCTCGCTTTAAGTCCCTTTTCTAAGAAGAGCATGTGCGAATTATAATGCATCTGTCTTATGTTTTATGCAATTGTTTGTTTGTGAAAATAGTCGTAGAAATTGCATATTCTCTCATTATGACTGCAAAAAGTAATTCAATAACTAGCGTGTTAGATAGCATAATTTCAAAAATAGAAACAGAAATGGAATTAGAACAGGAAACGGAAACATATATAAATGAATCAGATCTGGAAAATACTGTAACTTCAAATAAAAGGAACAAATTACCATCGTGCGATTCAATGGAAGATATAAACTGTCGCATTTGTTATGATCTTAATCAAGAGTTGCCTGTTATATACCCGTGCAAATGCAAGGTTCGACAAAATAAAATTTCATAAATAACAATTCAAATATCTAGAAATCCAGACCTAGAATGTAAAAAATAAGTTTTCTATATTTTTTCTTTTACATTTGTTTAATAAATCACACATATATTAATCTATGGAATGACTTATTTGATTTTATTGATCAGTAAACGTATATTTGGAAAAAATGTTTGATTTCAATAATTACATAATTACAAATACGACAACTGGGATTAGGGAACGATGGGTGCAATTCATCTGAAATGTTTGGAGCGATGGTTAGAAGAGAGCAATAGGAATAGTTGCGAATTGTGCGGCTACGAGTTCAAAATGGAACGAACACCTCGTTATAAGGTTCTCCGCTCCATCATAGTCTGGTTGTGCTTGAATCAGGATGAGCATCAGATGTACGCTCGCAGCGTGAAGGCAGATTTACTCAGATGTCTCGTACTTATTCCTGTGACCATCGCGTGTTCCTACATCTCCGTAGTTGCTGCGGATTTTTATGCTTTGAAAAATTATGACAATTTCCCACCTGCGCGATGGACAACTTATTCCCTGTTGTCAATGATGGGATTACTGATTCTGTCTTTCTTCGTCTGGATTTATATGATATTACAACATCATCAAAAAGCATGGTTTTACTGGTGGCAAAAGTCCAGCATTGTGAAAATAGTCAATTTGGCGTTGAAAAATGTTACTTTAGAAATTAGAAACGAGAAACGCAACATATCAGAGATCCAATGAATCCAGATGTTGAATTAATTGAAAAATTAATTGATTAAGAAGCTCGTCGTTTGATAGAGATTTTCCCACGACTCAATTGCGATATGTAAATGCGTACTTTGCTGCTGTCTGAAACCTTTTTCACCCAGATCTGAAAAAAAGTGTATCTTGTGATGACGTGCGATTCACTTAATATTTCAAATACTTACCGCTTCAGTGCCGATTGCCGAAATATGCGCCGCGAATCTGTTAAGATCTTTGCCTTCGACATAAACAGGTTGACCACGGTGAAACCTGTTAATAAAAAATTCGATCAAAGTATTTTTTTATATATAAAAAAAACAAGCTTCAAACCAAATAGTAGTATAGATAAATTAAAAGTACCATCTTCGTTCGTATGATAATTTGCCGTCTTCTATCCTAGTTTCTACCAATGGAGTTTCAGATGGTTGTGGTATATGTTGAGATGATATATTTACTGCGTTGTAATGTGGTAAAACTACTGTAAAAAAACAAACAGTTTTAATTATTTATTTAAAAAATTTATTTCTTATTTTTAGTCTTTACATACATTTATATATTTTCCCTTTTACATTTATTTACATAAAATGTCTAAAATTTATGTAATAGAATACTATAGTGGAAAAAACTAAGATAAATCTTTACAAGGTTTATTCCAAGCAATAGTTTTTAAAATATAAGAACTTAATGTGATTAATTACGAATTATAATTAAGTACTACACTCAAAAATTGCTTGAAATAAAAAAAACTGTAAATTTTTACTTAGTTTTTTAAGAATTTTTATACTAGAAAATATTCATGAATTTTGAAACAGCTTGTAGATGTGCACCTGGTTTACGAACAGCAGCGGACGTTTTCGCACGATTGATGGCTTTCAAATCGAGCTCGATCTCTTTCTCTTCCAATAGATAATTTACTGATGCCGGAGGTGGTTTTCGTCGCTTTTCCACTTTTTCAGGTACTGGATCATTGGGACGTCTGCGCAATTTTCTCGTCATAACTGGTTTCACCTAATTAACGAACAAAATAATGTTGAAAAAAAAAAATATGTATATATATATATATTACTTCAGCAAGCATAATCTTCAATACCTCCATCGAATCACCAGTGAGTTCCATTGTGTGACGATCTGATTCAATTATTTTCCTTTTTTCTTCCATATCAGTAAGCAAATTTTCCTTCAAGTCAATTTTTTTCTCTTCAAATTCTTTCACTGCTGCTTTCTTCTCTAATATATAATCTCGTTCAACCCATTCCGTCAAATAGTCCCGATAAATTATATTCAATCTCAATCTGATAAAAATAAAAGTTTAATACAATTATTAAAGCTGTCCACAATTAATGATTATTTATTAATAATAATAACAAATTAATTACCGTTCTTTATACTGTGCTTCTAGACGTTTTAATTTACGATTATATTCAGGATGTGTCCCATCTTTCAATTGCTGTAACTGCTTCTTCAAACTTGCTAATTTGTCTTGATACATTCTGAAAAATTGAATATACCAATACATTTCATGCATTAAATTCATTATTGATATAAAACTATGTTTTCTCTAAGCTTACTGTTCTTTAATTTCTGTATATTCCTCGGATTTTCTCTCTCCCATATCAGTTTCGCTCGCTTCCTCGGTATCTAAAAGTTTTCATTAGTTTTAGACAAATATTTCGATATTATTTAAAGTGTTTATGTCATAGAGAAACTGTATAATTCTAAAAATGAAAGCTAAACACGAGAGATAACAATTTACATCTCATTGTCAGCTTCATGTATTATTTTTTATCATATCACAGATACCTTCATCGCTATCATCTTGCTCCTCGGCATCCCTATCTTCTTCCAAGAATTCCTCATTGTCTTCATCCAGATCATAATCGTCTTGACGATCGTATATTGTGCAAAATGATGACTCTTGATAAGACATGATCATTCATATCAGTGCGACCATTCTTACTTCATGAGTGCGACGCATCCTTTATTATTGACAAGTCGCTTGTAGTTATGTTAGGTTATATTACGTGAAATCTGGGTTAAGTTAGGTTAAAGTCTATTTTACGATCACACCATCGCGCGCGTCGAATTGATCACGTGACCACGCGACGACGTGACCACGTGATCACGAGATCTCGATTACTCGATTACTCGATTCGTTCAAATGGCTGACGCGTGCGCTGAGTTGCGTTAAGTGTGCTCATTTTTTATATAAATATCGGAAAAATAATATTAATTAATTGAAAAAATATAGTTGTAGTGATCGATCGTGTGTTTGTATTCTTCAATATCACAATAATAGTGCGATATTACGTAAATCTAGTGTTAATTTCTTAAAGTTGTCGTTGACTTCACTTCCGTGCCGATATGAGTGTCCGAAAAGTTTCAAACATTTAAGGAAATCATCGCTCTTCGTAAAGATATTTGTTGCATCGAAGGATCAGAGAGGTATGTAAAAAATCCTTCAAAGAACTTCTTGAGTTTTTGCATTGCATGTATATGATGTATATGTATATGTACATACATGGAACAAGACATATATTTATATAAAATTTGAAAACGCAGGGGACGCGTTTTCTCGAGCTGCTTTATTCGATGGAATAAATTAATTTATTCGTCAATTGCGATCGCGCTAAACTATCGCATGCAAAAAGATGAAATAACAGACACAATGAAGATTTGAGTAAATCGTTTTACTAATGTTTATTAATAAACATTTTATATAGATTAATTGAATTTAATATAATTTCATACGTGTTGTTGTTGTTGTTGTTGTTGTTGTTGTTGTAATCGTCGCAATTACAGTTTTTATCGTTATTTACACTATTCAGTATAAAATGCGAGTTCGAGATTAAATCATCGTCATCATCGTCATCATTGTCACACCACTATACTGTTTAATTATTATTATTATTATTATTATTTTTATTATTATTATTATTATTACGACTTTTTTCCCTTTTCTTTCTTTTTTTTCCTCGGACACTATCTGTCATCGATTAATTAATTATCAATGCTTGTACTCAGGAAAATGCGTGGGGGGCAGTAGGGCAGTATTTTCGTTATCACTAGTGTTGTTGGTAATTAATTCTTTAGGGGAACCATTATTCATTATGTTACAATCTAGACTAAAGTTATCGTCTAGTGGGCGTTTGTTAATATTAGGCAAGTGATTAACATCGATTCCACGAACGTCGCTTAGCGGTTGCTGTTGGGATTGAGCAGATTCGACCTCGACGTTGTTGCCAGCGTCGGGGCTGTTTTCGGTTTGTGGGGGAGATGGATAATAGCCGCGCTGCTTTATTGGCAGTTGTTCCACCGGCAGTTGATGTTGCTGTTGCTGCTGCTGTTGTTGCTGCACCGGCAACGGCATAGCAGGTGGTGGAGGTGGCTGCTGCGGCGGCCGGTGCTGCACTCCTCCTCCTCCTCCTCCTCCGTCCTCACTAGTCCACCGGGCTACTTGTTGTTGAGCTTGAATAAATGCATCACTAGAAAATAATAAGATTACACGAGCCCATTGGATCTAGTCCACCGCCACTAATGCTGCATTCGAACGCGGGACGTAATAACATTCAGTAAAACGGAGCCAACCGGTAGACCAAGTCGACCTAAGAAGCAAAAGCTTCGGTGCATACGTGATTATTTTCTAAACTGTTATTTGAATTGATCGGATCAGTGATATGCGAAAAAAAGTTTGTGATACAAAGTAGAAAAAAAAAACATTAAAATTGTATTTTATATCACTTCTGATATCGGTCAATTTTTAATCTTAAAAAATTTAATTAATTAACAGCTTTTTAAGAAAGTAACAGTTGTGATGTGAATAAATTATATAAAATACAAACAATTAGACTTATTATCATTTTTATCTATAACGCGTTTTTATATATTTGATTAATTTCATGAAGTGTCACTATAATTTATTTGCCATATATAATTTTATTTTATTAAATTCTTAATTATATTAAAAAATGAGTATCTAATTTAAAGAAAAAGCATCACGTATACACAAGAAGTAAAAGGTTAATTAAGACATTCAAAGCGCGCGTGCGAAGCCTTACAATTCATCACTACAATTCTATTTAATTAAACATTCCTTGTACACATTATCTTTGAACATACTAACGAAGAAAAACTTCAGATAAGGATAAGTGCGTACATCGGTCACAATGTAAATTTGATTGAGAAATGAATTGGAAATATCTCTTACAATCGCTTGAAAAATTGAAAGATTCGTTCTGCATTTTAATTTTGCAAATTTTGCAATGCAAAATACTAGAAGCGGCATGCGCGAGATTCGATCAGAATTGTAAACTTTATCAAGTGTCCCAGATCTGTTTAGAGAGATGTTAACTTTAATTAAATAAAACTCTAAAAAAATACGAAATGTGGTTATTTGAAAATACTAATAATAATATTTACATAAATGATACTATTTGGATATCTAAAGTAGATTCGGGACGTACTCGATCGAGTTCACTGGCTGAATATGTGTGTTATTATTGTTCGATTGTTTAAAGTTTAGAGTAACATTCACACAATGCAAAAGCGAACAAAAAAGCGTGCAGACTTTCATGTACATTTTGTTTTTCTCAACATATTTTAAATTGTTATTAATATACATTTTTAAATCAATGTAAATTTTTTGATTAATTTGATAGGATATGCAATTGCGAACGATGCAATTGCGGAATTGCAAATTAAATATTATATGCCGAGTCCATTTATACTTTACGTAAGTTTCAAAGTCCTCTCAGTTAATAGCAATAATTTTTGTAATACAATTTTTTACTTGAATATTCTTTGGATATATTCTTGAAAAAAATATTCGCAATGTATATATATATATATATATATAACAATACATAACAATTATACATATACGTAACGAGATTAAAAATATAATCTTATCTAAATCTCAATCTAAAATCCTGCTTTTTTCGAAATGCGCCATAATTTTTATATCGTTTACAATTATATTTCGGTGTGTCAATAATTTTGATTCGTTTTCTCTTTGCAAACAACAATACATGCACCATCCTTATCTGAGGTATGCGCGAATTATCGTGGGATTCGTGATGAATAGGAGTGATGTAGACGTGAGCCGAGAGATAAGTCAATATCAGTGAATAATCGCTACTAGTAAAGGATCCGTGATTTTTCGTGATGCAAGAATCTTGCGATACCTTTCACAATCGGGTGTTTCACCCCTAGTATTTGAGCCTCTGTCAGGATCGGCAGTTTCATAGATACCCTCGTCCTCGGGGTGCATTTGATGGGAGTGTTGATGGGTGTGTTGATGGTTGCCGTAAGGACTTCGAGACGTCGGCTGACGATATCTACCGTAGACGAATCTACTAGCGTCCTCGTCGCGGCCGCGGCTACATCTTCTGCTTCTACGTAGGAAATCTAATCAATTCCTGCATAGGTCTACGCGATTTGCATTCGTATTTTATCTAAAACTTTTATCTGCTACTCAAAAGTTTATTCAATTCCTGCCCCTCTCTTGATATTTTGATACATTAATTTAGAAACAGAGAGAAATACTAATATTTTAAATTTATATAAAAAAAATACTCGGGACGCTTATCTACTTCTTTGTCTGTTCTATTTTTTTTGTATAATTATGTTATGATTTGTGTGCTTATATGTAATTCATAATGTAATCCATTATTTCGTTTATATTCTCTAAAATGCAGCAACAACGACATTCACACCTGTGCTATCGATAAATCAATTTTACTTGACGAAGAATTCATAACAGTTTTACTCGGCGCCTAACATTTTAATTGCATCGCAATTAATTTATAATCAAGCTCGTTGCGATTATTTAGTATAAACAGACTCCGCATTTTACCTAGTGTAAATTTTTTCTGTGTAAATATTTATTACATATCCATTTACTAAATATATATCCTCTTCCATTATCTTTGCGCATGTTTTATTGTAATCTACAGTTTCGCAAAACACATCAAATATAGTGTCTGATATACATAAATAAATGCGTCGAGTTTGACAGCCTTTTGATGCGTAAGATAGAAAAAGCAGAATAAGATAATAAGTTAACCCTCTCATTCTATTAAAATTATTCAAATATTTTCATTACTTCCACACAAAATGTATTAATTTGCATAATTTCTTTATCTCTATTTTTTGTTTTTTTACACATTTACTATAAAATATGTTATTTTATTATGAATATAAATAAAACGTCAAATTTTCTACAAAATTTTAACTTTATTTTTGCAAGCTAATTAAAATATCCATTAAAAATAAAAAGAGCAAAAATTTACGTATACAAACTATATATATATATGTCTGTACAGAACATATTATCAAATATAAAAATTATATAAAAATAATATCTGAAATTACAAATATTAATTGAGAAAGTAAAATCAAATTGATATAAATTTATAAAAATAATTTTAGAGACATTTACAAAATATCTATAAAAATATATTTATAAAATATCTTTTGTTCAACCATTTGCAATCACTTAATGTATGAGAGGGTTAAGATAATATAAATTGGCGAAAGAGAGAAGATAGTAAGCAATTCACAGTGAAAGTTATAGCAGCGTGTGAAATGTCTGCTGACAATAATCGTGATTAACAAAGTATGAAAAAGCTTAGATGTATTTAGTCGATTGTTTCGGTAAATACATATGGTTGAAAATTATAAATTCAAACGAATATATCTATTTTACAAATTATTACTAAAACATCTAAGAATGTTTCTTGTGTATTGTAATAAACATCTTCGAATATTTCGAAATTATGATCTCGATATTTTTTCTTTCGAAATTTTCAGGCTCTTTGTCTGAGTTTGAAAGCTTGTCTGATATAAGCGCGCGTGTTTTCTCTCGCAAATTCTTACCCTTGAGATGACTCGCTACAGACAGAAGAATCGATTCTGTAGTGTCGATCAGGTTCGCCCTCGGATATTCGAATCTCTTCAGATCCACTCGGACTCATCTGGCCAGTCATGTAGGGTCTGATGACAGTCATTAATATCTTTTTAATTTCTGCGAAAGGCTTAAA